GAACACAACACATAATCCTATCCTCCACAGGAAGTGGCTGTAGTGTTAGAACACAACACATAATCCTATCCTCCACAGGACGTGGCTGTAGTGTTAGAACACAACACATAATCCTATCCTCCACAGCAAGTGGCTGTAGTGTTAGAACACAACACATAATCCTATCCTCCACAGGACATGACTGTATTGTTAGAACATAACTATCCTCCACAGGACGTGGCTGTAGTGTTAAAACACAACACATAATCCTATCCTCCACGGCAAGTGGCTGTAGTGTTAGAACACAACACATAATCCTATCCTCCACAGCAAGTGGCTGTAGTGTTAGAACACAACACATAATCCTATCCTCCACAGGAAGTGGCTGTAGTGTTAGAACACACCACATTATCCTACCCTCCACAGCAAGTGGCTGTAGTGTTAGAACAAATCCTATCCTCAACAGGACATGACTGTATTGTTAGAACATAACTATCCTCCACAGGACGTGGCTGTAGTGTTAAAACACAACACATAATCCTATCCTCCACAGGAAGTGGCTGTAGTGTTAGAACACAACACATAATCCTATCCTCCACAGCAAGTGGCTGTAGTGTTAGAACACACCACATAATCCTATCCTCCACGGGAAGTGGTTGTAGTGTTAGAACACAACACATAATCCTATCCTCCACAGCAAGTGGCTGTAGTGTTAGAACACACCACATAATCCTATCCTCCATGGGAAGTGGTTGTAGTGTTAGAACACAACACATAATCCTATCCTCCACAGCAAGTGGCTGTAGTGTTAGAACACACCACATAATCCTATCCTCCACAGGACGTGGCTGTAGTGTTAGAACACAACACATAATCCTATCCTCCACAGGAAGTGGCTGTAGTGTTAGAACACAACACATTATCCTATCCTCCGCAGGACATGACTGTGTTGTTAGAACATAACACATAATCCTATCCTCCACAGGACGTGGCTGTAGTGTTAAAACACAACACATAATCCTATCCTCCACAGGACGTGGTTGTAGTGTTAGAACACAACACATAATCCTATCCTCCACAGGACATGGCTGTAGTGTTAGAACATAACTATCCTCTACAGGAAGTGGCTGTAGTGTTAGAACACAACACATTTTCCTATCCTCCACAGGACGTGACTGTAGTGTTAGAACATAACTATCCTCCACAGGAAGTAGCTGTAGTGTTAGAACACAACACATAATCCTATCCTCCACAGGACATGGCTGTAGTGTTAGAACATAACTATCCTCTACAGGAAGTGGCTGTAGTGTTAGAACACAACACATAATCCTATCCTCCACAGGACGTGACTGTAATGTTAGAACATAACTATCCTCTACAGGAAGTGGCTGTAGTGTTAGAACACAACACATTATCCTATCCTCCACAGGAAGTGGCTGTAGTGTTAGAACACAACACATAATCCTATCCTCCACAGCAAGTGGCTGTAGTGTTAGAACACACCACATAATCCTATCCTCCACAGGATGTGGCTGTAGTGTTAGAACATAACACATAATCCTATCCTCCACAGTAAGTGGCTGTAGTGTTAGAACACACCACATAATCCTATCCTCCACAGGATGTGGCTGTAGTGTTAGAACACACCACACAATCCTATCCTCCACAGGATGTGGCGATAGTGTTTTAACTCATCACATAATCCTATTCCCCAGTGAAATCTTTATGATCCAAATTGTAGTGAGAGCTTTGTTTGTGATCTGAGCTAAGTGGGAGCTTTGTTTGTGATCTAAGTTGAGTGAGAGCTTTGTTTGTGATCTGAGCTGAGTGAGAGTTTTGTTTGTGATCTGAGCTGAATGAGAGCTGTTATTTTGATCTGAGCTGAGTGAGAGTTTTATATATGACCTGAGCTAAATGAAAGCTTTGTTTGGGACCTGAGCTGAGTGAGAGCTTTGTTTGTGATCTGAGCGGAGTGAGAGCTTTGTGTTCTGAGTTGAGTGAGAGCTTTGTTTGTGTTCTAAGCTTAGTGAGAGCTTTGTTTGTGTTCTGAGCTGAGTGAAAGTTTTGTTTGTGACCTGAGCTGAGTGAGAGCTGTTATTGTGATCTTAGCTGAATGAGAGCTTTGTTTGCAACCTGAGCTAAGTGGGAGCTTTGTTTGTGATCTAAGTTGAGTGAGAGCTTTGTTTGTGATCTGAGCTGAGTGAGAGTTTTGTTTGTGACCTGAGCTGAATGAGAGCTGTTATTGTGATCTGAGCTGAGTGAGAGTTTTATTTATGACCTGAGCTAAATGAAAGCTTTGTTTGGGACCTGAGCTGAGTGAGAGCTTTGTTTGTGATCTGAGCGGAGTGAGAGCTTTGTTTGTGTTCTGAGATGAGTGAGAGCTTTGTTTGTGTTCTAAGCTTAGTGAGAGCTTTGTGTTCTGAGCTAAGTTTTGTTTCTGGAAAATCATTGTAAATCTTTCTTATGGTCATATTTTCCTTACTCATCAGATTTGAGTTTTATTTAGATTCTGCATGTCAATATTTTCTTTGTTATTTTTATGATCAGAGTTGATTGGAAGGTCTGTTTGAGATTAGAATAATTGGAAACTTTGATTGTGTTCAAAATTAATTGGAAACTTTGATTGTGTTCAAAATTAATTGGAAACTTTGATTGTGTTTAGAATTAATTGGAAGCTTTGATTGTGCTTAGAAATAATTGAAAACTTTATTTGTGATAAGAATCAGTTGGAAGTCAGTTATTTTTTTGGGTTGAAATTTTCATTTTAAAATCAGAAAATCAAATTTTTAAGAAATTACATTTTTTTTTTTTATCTGAATGTATGTCTGTAAGTAATGTTCATGAGTTTTGCTCCTGGTGTTATGTTTCAAATAAAAGATCAATGATATAAGTATTCTATAAACTTATGTCACAAATATTCTACCTTCCATTTAATCCAACCCAATCCTGGTTCATGGGCCTTAACAGTCAGCTGACTATAAAGACTAATGAGATACAATAGTAACATCAGTAGCAGTTGTTGGGAAAATCCTGGGTAAAACAGTTCCCAACACTTAAGCAGTAAAGACAAAAAACACTCTTTATTTCAATTTCTAAACTTCCAGCCAAACAGCATCAGTGAAAATGGGGAAGAAGTTTTAAAAATGTTTTTCAAGATGACTACCATTTTGGATTTCAGACTGACAATGATAGGATTATTTGAGGCAAGTTTCTGCTGAATTCCACACATGGAACTTGGTGTGCCTTTTGGTTGTTGAGAAGAAGTTGATTAAAGATTTTAACATATTTGATCCCTGTGAACTTGGAAGTTGGTCAAAGTCATTTATTTAAACATATGAAGGTGCAAATAGATTCATTTATTATAAGTACCATTGGATAAGTAGAAATGGCCATGTTGGCTAGAATTGTTAAGGATATGTAACAGAATTTAGTCTCACTATATAATCAGGAATGAAATTTACAGGCATCTTATTTTTGGATGTATCAAATTTTGTCTATCAAAGTAATGTACCACGAAATAGTGAAAATAACCTCCCCACAAAAACAACAGGTAGTAGGATATTGATAAACTCAATTAATAAAACAATATTTGTTCTCATATATAATTTCCATACCAAGCAACATAACATGGATATACAAATAATGTTGTAATCTACACATATTGAAGAAAACCAATTCTCATGAAAAAAATTGTGGATTTAGTTGTAATCCTGGTACACTATAAAAGCATGTGTGTGCCCCGGAGATATGTGTTGTGGGTAACATAATGATGATTCCTCCCCGAAGGTTTCTGGGTGTCTATCATTAACTAGCAACACAATCTAGCCTGGTTGTATCATTATACTGTCATCATGCTGGAAACTACATCAGGTCTTGCCTGTCTCTGCTGCATGGCTAAGCTCCGCTGAGAAATGTCACTGTTACAGACTTCTCATCAGAAGCATTTCACATTAAAACCTCACAGCCATGTGTTCTTTAGGTGGTCTGGCCTTCCAAGGAAACAACTAACATCTATTTCTACCTATAGCAAATACCAGAACATTGTGATCACTGTATTTTTTTTACTTTATTTTCATGTTTCTGTTATTGGTATTATAGTATCAATAACACAGACAAAAGGTGATATGATCTAACAACATTCTATAATAATGGTTATGTAACACATTGTTTTCATTGGATGATTTTCATCATCTAATCTCGATATACTCATCAATCTCCAAGTCGTTTCCATGGCAATCATTCTGATGCTAGCTCAAATATGCTGCCCAAAATTCAGGATCTTATCTCCGGTTAAAGCATAAAATCTATCATACTATCCCCTAAATCTTTTTATGTAGACAACAGCAATCAGTGTTAATAATGTACACAGATGTGCAGATTTTATAGGTAGGAACTTTGTACCCAGGTTTGTACTTTGTACCACACATTGTGGGTATGGTTTGTACCACACATTGTGGGTATGGTTTGTACCACACATTGTGGGTATGGTTTTTACTTTGTACCTCAGTCAATAATTCTGAAGTCATCTGACCATTTCTTTCACCTGTATGCCATAGCTTTGGTCAATATTTATGGTCTTTTTCTAAATGAAAATTTTATTTATTTTATGAAAAGGGTGAAACAAGCTGGCCCTGGTGTGAAGCACATGAGGGTACTGTGTGCAAACTGGCGACAGCTGACCCATATGGTCAGGTGACTCTATACATCTTTACTGTTGGCATAATGATACCACTGTCCCACATAACATGCCCCCTCCCCCAACCTCACCCTCCCACTCTCCATTATTTTTATCTTTATTTTTCAAACATTTTTATTCAATCAAATCATAGAAAGTTTGAATTCAAAACTTCAAACTCACTGGTCATGGAAAGTATTAAAATAAACACGGATTAGATCACTAGTCCTGACATCCATCTCGGACAAGTGACAGAGAAACAGATCTGCCTTGTGAGATATAGTATTATCATGTGACAACCTTTGATTGAGACTTGTTATACAGAATAGAAACACAGAATACTAACCTCCTCCCCTTTCAGAGCATATTCATGGTTCAGTAACAATTCCACCGCCTCCACGTTTTCTTCGTTGATAGCATGAAGAAGTGAATCTCCAACATCCACATGGTAACTTAACAACAGTTCAATCATTTCAATATTTTCATTTTCAATAGCAACAAGGAGTGCAGTTCGTCCAAGTGGGTCGACACAGTTAATGTTGAGTCCAGTCTGTGTGCCAACACTGAGGTACTGTCGTGTGCTGGGGATGTCACCACGTTCTACTGCCAAAAGGTATTGCTTTTCATCATTAGTCAGGTCAACCTCCTTACGTATGACACCCATACCTAAACAGTCGCCATCCATGTCAGTTCCACCCTCGTCCACCAGGCGTGACGAGTTCATCAGCGTCTCCCGGTAACGGCGGTATACCTTGTCCATATCCTGGTCGCTGTCGCCGTACGACCCACAATGGGAAGTTGTAGAACCCTGAAACAGAGAGGGTAGATCTTAACACAAGTTGAGTAACAAAGAAAATCAAGAGGCCGAAAGGCACTATAGACTCTGACTACTAAACTGTAAAAAGCAATGATGAATCATCCATGATACAGAAACATCTTCAACATTGTACCAAACATCATCATTAAAGATGAAGTGAAATCCTTCAACTTCAAAAGGATGTTGAAACAAAATGTCCTATTTTTGCAACAAATTAATTTATACAAAATATGTCAACCTTACAAAAGTAAGGGTTGATAAAACAGGTTTTCAATTTGTCCATTATGCCATAAGCTCAGACAGAGTAGAATTTTTAACGCAAAAGACCCTCTTTCTCTAGAGGTAATACCAATTATACAAAATATATTCATATATGTGAGGTTGCAGGTATAATGAGGTCAGTATATGAAATTCTGCTTAAGTATACTTAATCCCAGAGTAAAATGTCCATTTATCTCTATTCAGCCATCTAGCCGAAGTTTATGTCAGTTTCTATACAAGAGGCCCCTTGGGCCTTCACAATGGTCTGACTATAAGACCTTTAAAAAACACAACAGTATTAGTGATTGTGTGAACACTTATCAAAAGATTAAATCAATTCTGCATATTTTAGCAGCTAATGTAACAAAAACAGCAAGTGTCAATATTTGTTTCAGTTCCTTTACATTTCCTTAAAATTTCAGCTTAATAGCACTCGTAGAAATGGAGAAGAGGTAAAATGTGTTTTCCAAGATGGCAACCATAGCACTTTGTCAGGACCATCTCAGTTCAGTTTGAAATGGGAACTTAAAAGACTGAACAAAAATATGTAGTAGGATTTTTCAACATGCACTTTCTCACATCTTTTAGGAGATTTTCTACCAAGTCCTCAGACATTCATAGATTTTTGTAAATGACTTCCCCAGATTTCTGTTGTTTTTTCCTTTGGAGTATTAGATAGTAGATTTTGCAAGAAACTCTAGAAGCCTACAGGAAAACATACAGGTGGATGTTTAGAGAAGTTAATAATACAAACAGTTTAGTTAAGGATATCTGACCCCAACATTATTTATGTAGATTATGGTCCCAATACTTCCAATGAAATATAATACAAAAATCATGTGATGTTGCTTGCAACATTGCTAAATATTATAGTTACAGAAAGTTTCATTGATTTCCTGTCAGTATCAATAAACATACATATATATCTAAATACAATATAACAGTTATTTGTACGGTGTTGTACATACCTCAATACAATATAACAGTTATTTGTACAGTGTTATACAGTGTAGTACATACCTCAATACAATATAACAGTTATTTGTACGGTGTTGTACAGTGTAGTACATACCTCAATACAACATATAACAGCTATTTGTACAGTGTAGTATATACCTCAATACAATATAACAATTATTTGTACAGTGTAGTATATCCCTCAATACAATATAACAGTTATTTGAACAGTGTTGTACAGTGTAGTACATACCTCAATACAACATATAACAGCTATTTGTACAGTGTAGTATATACCTCAATACAATATAACAGTTATTTGTACAGTGTAGTATATCCCTCAATACAATATAACAGTTATTTGTACAGTGTTGTACAGTGTAGTACATACCTCAATACAACATATAACAGCTATTTGTACAGTGTAGTATATACCTCAATACAATATAACAGTTATTTGTACAGTGTAGTATATCCCTCAATACAATATAACAGTTATTTGTACAGTGTTGTACAGTGTAGTACATACCTCAATACAACATATAACAGCTATTTGAACAGTGTAGTATATACCTCAATACAATATAACAGTTATTTGTACAGTGTAGTATATCCCTCAATACAATATAACAGTTATTTGTACAGTGTTGTACAGTGTTGTACATACCTCAAAACAATATAACAGTTATTTGTACAGTGTTGTACAGTGTAGTACATACCTCAATACAACATATAACAGCTATTTGTACAGTGTAGTATATACCTCAATACAATATAACAGTTATTTGTACAGTGTAGTATATCCCTCAATACAATATAACAGTTATTTGTACAGTGTAGTACATACCTCAATACAATATAACAGTTATTTGTACAGTGTTGTACAGTGTAGTACATACCTCAATACAACATATAACAGCTATTTGTACAGTGTAGTATATACATCAATACAATATAACAGTTATTTGTACAGTGTTGTACAGTGTAGTACATACCTCAATACAATATATAACAGCTATTTGTACAGTGTAGTATATACCTCAATACAATATAACAGTTATTTGTACAGTGTTGTACAGTGTAGTACATACCTCAATACAATATCACAGTTATTTGTACAGTGTTGTACAGTGTAGCACATACCTCAATACAACATATAACAGCTATTTGTACAGTGTAGTATATACCTCAATACAATATAACAGTTATTTGTACAGTGTAGTATATACCTCAATACAATATAAGTTATTTGTACAGTGTAGTATATACCTCAATACAATATCACAGTTATTTGTACAGTGTTGTACAGTGTAGTATATACCTCAATACAATATAAGTTATTTGCAAAGTGTCGTACAGTGTAGTATATACCTCAATACAATATAACAGTTATTTGCAAAGTGTTGTACAGTGTAGTATATACCTCAATACAATATAACAATTATTTGTACAGTGTAGTATATCCCTCAATACAATATAACAGTTATTTGAACAGTGTTGTACAGTGTAGTACATACCTCAATACAACATATAACAGCTATTTGTACAGTGTAGTATATACCTCAATACAATATAACAGTTATTTGTACAGTGTAGTATATCCCTCAATACAATATAACAGTTATTTGTACAGTGTTGTACAGTGTAGTACATACCTCAATACAACATATAACAGCTATTTGTACAGTGTAGTATATACCTCAATACAATATAACAGTTATTTGTACAGTGTAGTATATCCCTCAATACAATATAACAGTTATTTGTACAGTGTTGTACAGTGTTGTACATACCTCAATACAATATAACAGTTATTTGTACAGTGTTGTACAGTGTAGTACATACCTCAAGACAACATATAACAGCTATTTGTACAGTGTAGTATATACCTCAATACAATGTAACAGTTATTTGTACAGTGTAGTATATCCCTCAATACAATATAACAGTTATTTGTACAGTGTAGTACATACCTCAATACAATATAACAGTTATTTGTACAGTGTTGTACAGTGTAGTACATACCTCAATACAACATATAACAGCTATTTGTACAGTGTAGTATATACCTCAATACAATATAACAGTTATTTGTACAGTGTTGTACAGTGTAGTACATACCTCAATACAATATATAACAGCTATTTGTACAGTGTAGTATATACCTCAATACAATATAACAGTTATTTGTACAGTGTTGTACAGTGTATATACCTCAATACAATATCACAGTTATTTGTACAGTGTTGTACAGTGTAGCACATACCTCAATACAACATATAACAGCTATTTGTACAGTGTAGTATATACCTCAATACAATATAAGTTATTTGTACAGTGTAGTATATACCTCAATACAATATAAGTTATTTGCAAAGTGTCGTACAGTGTAGTATATACCTCAATACAATATAACAGTTATTTGCAAAGTGTTGTACAGTGTAGTATATACCTCAATACAATATAACAGTTATTTGTACAGTGTAGTATATACCTCAATACAATATAAGTTATTTGTACAGTGTTGTACAGTGTAGTATACACCTCAATACAATATAACAGTTATTTGTACAGTGTAGTATATCTGTTTTCTACAATGTTTAAACATCCTGAAGTCTCTATTTTTCTGTCAGATCCATGAATGTACCTGAGATTTCTTTGTGAAGTTTGTATATTTAAGTATACGCCTACTTGAGAGTAATAAATCACTATGTTCTAGGACATGACAGAGATCAATCAATGTAGTGTTTTATAAGACTGGATCAATTATTGATCATGACAATTGATATATCTAAATGTATTGTATTTTGTGGGGTTAATTATTTACCATGGATGTTGTAATGACCATGGCCTTTTGAGGAACCAAGACTAGATGCGAGAGTACCAGGTGTACTATAAAATCTCCATAAAGTACTTACCGCATTTTCTATGCAAGCAGGCAAGTAACACACTATATAATGGTTATATATTATACTAGAACTAACACTCCTGCACCATGTATTATAAAACAATTTCATTTCAGTAACAATTACCATAACTTTAGTATGCAAATACAGTACCTACACCCATCTTTGTATCCCAACAACAAAAAATTCAAAAGAAAAACAATCCCGCCCTCCCTACGATCCATGAGCCATCACGGCAGGAACGCAGAGTGATCTCCCTTCCTCTTACCTTTATGGCTGCCGACGAGTTTTATTTATGCAGTGCAATCTTGCTGCGTACGGTAGGCTTTGTGCTCTCGTTCGTAGTTTTTTGATTGTTCGAGAACTTTGTTTCCGGCCGTGTTTTTCCTCCGCGTGTTCGAGTGCGTGACTACTTGTCTCGTCACTCGGATTTTCGTGAAGTTGAAATTGTTTTCTTGCTGCTTTGTCGGCCGTTTTGTACGACCGTTTTCTTTTTTTTGCAGTACAATCTTGCTGCTTACGGTAGGTTTTATGATCTCGTTCGTAGTTTTTTGATTGTTAGAAAACTTTTTATCCTTGTTTTCATTGTTACAATTTTTTATTGTTTCGATGCTGGATAAAGGTGCCGGGTTTACGTCGGGGGTCAGCGCATGGATGTTCCTATTTCTATAGATAATGGGAACCCCATGATACCTGTCCCATTTGCCGACATTACAGCCAGACCTCGCTATGTGAACTTTGTTTGCACATGGAGTCTGCTGCTTAGGCTCCCATGCCTTTCCAGCTAACTTTCCGCCGGAAGAGGGATTCGTCCTCTTC